AGTATCAGATTTTCCAAGCACACTTTCTTCATTATGCGCCCTAGAAATTTCAACTGTCTCTTCCATTTTCTCTAAAACTTCGTCGGTGCTCACTTGTCCGGTCCACGGTATTCTCAGTATTCTTCTGTAGAACCACATTTCTGCTGCTTGAAGTCTCTTTTCCATCAGTAAGGAGACTATCCAGAATTTACTGCCATATCGGAGGACTAACATCATATAAATGTTTAGTACTCTTTTCTTTGTTTCTAGCGAAGTTTTTTCTATTTCTTAATACTCTGCTTAGCTTTTTGAAAAGCATCTTTGGCTATTCCAATGCATCTTCGGATTTCAGTGTCGCACTTTCCATTCTTTGCTAAAACACTTCTCAGATATTTAAATTGTTGCACTTGTTTGATTCTGGTGTTTCCCTTTTATATTTTTGCATGTTGGACTGTTTCTTTTGCTAAAAACCACGCATTCCGTCTTTTTTTTTTTTTTTTTTTTTGCAATTGGTGTTTAGTCCTTTCTTCTCGCTTTCCTTTATTCCCATGTGGTAGTTTCATTTCTATGTCTGTTATCAACACTGTGTCATTGGCATATCTTATATTGTTAAGGTTGTGACTTCCAATAATGAATCCTGGTAGAAATTCTAATTCTCTCAAAACTGATTCTATTATCGGTAGAATAAGTCCGGCGAGTAGACCCATCCTTGTCTGTATGCAAGTGGTTTACTTCTGGTATAATTTCTGGATTATTCTAATATCTTTCCCAAATTTGTCAAGGTTACCTAGCAGGAACAACAGTTTTTTTGTGATGTACTTTCTTACGACCATGAAATTAATGAAACATTAAAATAATCACTTATTATGTACCATAAATTATACTCTAGTTTCTATCAGTACGATATTAAATTCTTCCGAGTGCTAAAATTTCATGAAATCACTTTATATATCTTACTTATTATAAAACCCAGGTTGTGTGTGTGTGTGTGTGTCTGTACGTTTATATATTAAATCGGATTTCCTACATTTTTCAACCGATTTCAACAAAACTTCAGAGGACTACGTAAAATTACCTTGCGGTGGTTCTGACAGCGCCAAAAATTGGAAAAATACAATTGTTTTTGCACGAAATCAATTTGAAAACACGATTAAGAGGCATTAATGAATGGGGGACAACTCATATCGAGTTATACTTATTAATATCGAGTTATCGAGTTATACTTATAATAAAACCCAGGTTGTGTGTGTGTGTGTGTGTGTGTGTGTGTGTGTGTGTGTGTGTGTGTTCGTTTATATATGGGATCGGCTTTCCTACATTTTTCAACCGATTTCAACAAAACTTCATTTTTTTTTTGGCAGGTAGTGTTTCTTATTGTCTTGCACACTTTTTTTCTTTATTTTTACATTCAGAATGCTTTAAAAAATCCATTTACAAGACAATTGTTTATAATAAAATTCTATTCAATCGGTAGACTCATAACGATTGAAAACAAGGTTTTTGTTTGAGTTTGGGTTTGACCAATCCGTAAAAAAAAAAAAAAACAAAAAAAAAAAAAATTAAGACATGCGTGTCCGTCAACCTTAAACAATAATCTTTGTCAATTTTATTTTTCAGTCTTTATGATGGTTGATACTTGATCTATCTCTTACTGTTACATCCCCGGGCAACGTCGGGCTCTACTGCTAGTATTTACTATTTGTTCCTGTTTTAATGAATCCGTTCTACGTCTAAAGTGTGTCCCAATAACTTGGACTGATTTTAAATGTGAATTAAGTTTAGGCGTCTAATGATTTTTCTTCTTTTTCTTTCCTATTTAACAACTTAAGTCTTTGGCAACTTCAACCACGGAAGGATTAACAATCAAACAATGTGTTAAAGTTTCAAGAGTGCAAATGGAAAAATTGTTCGTAAATTCAAACAAACTGGGTCGGTGGCTGATGTGAAAACACCATTTCGTGCTCGTTTACGCCGTTCAGCTGAAAACATTGCTGCAGTGTACGAGAATGTGGCCGATAATCCAGACACCTCTATTCGTCATCGCGCGCAGGAATTGAACCTCTCCCCAACAACGTTACATCGTTTCCAATTGCCCTCTCGGTTGGTCGATTATGTGGACCCCAAAAATTCGCGAATTACACGAAATTACTTTCTGTTTGAACGTCCATTTTCGTAATAGGCTTCGATAACTTTAACACGTTGTTTGATTGTTAATCTTTCCATGCCAAAGACTTAAGTTGTTAAAACTGAAAGAAAAAGAAAAAAAAATCATTAAACGCTTAAACTTAATTCACATTTCAAATCGGTCCAAGTTATTGGAACATCCTATTAAATTCATGCAAAAGGTTTCCAGCGAAATATTAATTTTACTCAGTCACTTATTTTAGGTGCTGATTCCATTTCGGACGTTGACTTTCATTGCTTCCCAGAACTTATTTTCCTTTATAGCTCTAAGCGACGTTTGTTATTTTACTGTCCGCCCCCCCCCCCTCACGGTTCTGTCATTCCTTTAAACAAACTTGTTAGTTTACTTACTGTTTTCCTTTGTATCTCTTGCCTTCAATATGGAAGTCAGATTAGACGCTTAAGTTTAATTTACATTTAAAATCGATGCAAGTTAATGGAACACCCTTTACAAGTTTTCCATTCCGAATTTTTTTTTTAATCCGACTAACATTCGCAGAAAATATTTTATTGGTATTTACTATTTCGTAGCATATCTTTTCTTATGTATGGTAGCATTTTTGTCAACAAGAGGAAAAGAGTCCAAGATGGTAGAAAATTCAATCAAGTGCAAATATTTAATAACAAAGAACGGAAAATATGACCCCGGAATCCGAATGTTCAATGAGTCGCGAAAGAGGCCTTCCAAAAACAAAGCAAAAAATAGAAAAAAAAACAAAAACAATAAAAACAAAGAAATGAATATTGAATCGTTATGAAATATCAGTCCAGGGGTGAATGCTGGATAATGTCCTCACAGATGAAAATGAAACTTGAGCTAACAGAAATGTGGCTCTAAGGAAGGATGCTGAGAATACTTTCGACTGAAAATGTCACGAGGAAATTTTAAGTAAAATGGAAGCAAAAGATACGTTTATACATAAAAGCAGAAAAACAGAGTTGGCATTTCTAGGACATATAGGGAATAAAGAGTAATTAGAGAATTTGATACAGGAAATTTGAAGCAAAGAGGGACAGAGTACAGCGTATAATGTACCTAATAAACTTGGGTTTTCTAAAGGGATAGCAGAACAGTGATTGGAAGTGATGGAAAAAAGACACAACTTATTAAACACTAAAAAGTTTAGAATGTCATGGAGAGCCATGATCACTCATGTCCTGACGGGATATATCACATAGAAGTAGTATACAATTCAATCGATGATACAGGACTAAATTATCTAATTTGTTCTTTTTTTAATGCGTTTAATATTTGAGCAAAATAATCTCCTACTGGTTTTCATATTCTCTAAATTCAGTTATATTCTCTGAATTCTTTCTGCGTTGCGAAATTATTTTAATCCAACCAAAATTTGGGAAAATGAAATAGAAAAGAAAAAAAAAAGAAAGATGTAACAAAAGTATAATAAAAAGAGAGAGAGGTACTGTTAATTTTAATAAACAAAAGGAAAGACAAAGATAGAAACAAAAATTCAAAAGAGAAATCAAATTGAGACATAATGAAAAGAAGAAGAAGAGAAAGATAGAATAAAAGAAAGAAAAAATGAAAAAAGAGATAAGGCAAAAGACAAGAGAGGAAAGGAATAAAAATGTGAGAAATAAAGAAAAAAAATAAACATAAAATATAAAGTAAAAAACAAAAAGAAATTGATTTCTTTTTTATGGATTATCAATCCTTTGCAGTTTATTTAAAGTCAGATAATATCTTTCTTTGTAGTAATTTTTTGAGATAATAGTGATTACTGATACAAGTGCTACTAATTAACCCACAGCCGGAGGGAGAGGAGGTGGATTCATACCTTTCCCGAGTTCATTTACGAGTAATCTCTATCTATAAAAGGCAGTGTGTGTGTGTGTGTGTGTGTGTGTGTGTGTGTGGAATGCACAGCAGCAATTTTCGACGGATTTGCACCAAAATTTACATGCACATGCTCCAAGTTAGCGGGAAGGCCAAGACAGACATTGGATTTCCCAACTCACGTCGATAGTGGAAATAATCGTTTTTTTCATGCTTCTACGGCAGTTTTCATGTAGTTTGCGGCCATTTTCTACCGGCCAGAGTGAGAGCCTATAGCTGGCTTCCACGAATAGGCAGGAAGATTCTATTGGTCAGCGTGAGAGCCAACGGCTGACTGACACGAATGCTAGCATGCAAAAAAAAATTCGATTGCTGCATTCGTCCCAAGTGGAAAAAATTTAAATCTGCATGGCACTTTACTCCAATTGGCTCATTCGCTTGCTTAAACTCAACGTTGATTCTGATTCCGCAGAACTGGGTTGGGTGTGAAAAAGTATTTGTTCTTAACATTCTTTTTTCATTTGGTTTTTCCAGTTACGAGTCCTTTTTTAAAGCTGATCGTTTTGTGTTCATTTTGTTTAGTTCTTTTTTTCGTAACAGATTTAATATTTAGTACAGAGCTTAGAAAAAATCACAGTGTGAGATAGGCAAGAAGTAAGGCATGTAGCAACATCAGCACGGCAAAGGGCACTCCTTTAAAGGCAAGGAAGGGCAAAAATATTTTAAGTCAAGTGATAGCGATTGCTGTAGGAGTCGTACGATTTTTGAATCAAGCACGGGCAACGCCGGGCCATGCTGCTGGTTGAATATAAAGAACTCGGCTGAAATTGGAACTTGGTTCCCTGATTTTCCAGCTCCGAGCTTTTATCTATTACGCCAACCGCACATACAAACTCCTGGTATTCCTTAACCGTCACCTGTCTTGGTACTGAGTATGCCAGACGTTGCTTAACTTTTCGTGATCGTGCAGGAAACGGTATTTCAACCTGCTATGGCTGTACGTCTATTGAATAGAAAAAAATAAAAAATAAAGACAAACTCAGAGAAAGAGAGAGAGAGAGAGAGAGAGAGAGAGAGAGAGAGAGGGAAGAATTCGAAGGTTATACTATAAAAAACAAAAACGAGAAAAAAGACTTAGGAGTGACAACAAAGAAAAATATACCAGGAAAAGTGAAGAGGAAAGAGAGAGAAATAGAAAGAGAATGAGAGAGTGTCATTTAAAATGACAAGGAAGGAAAACATATTAGGAAAAATGAAGGGTAAAGGAAAAGAGAGAAAGAGAGAGAGTGTACGTCATTTAAAATGACAAGAAAGAAAAATATCGTAGGAAAAGTGAAGAGGAAAGGAAGAAGGAGAGAGTGAAAGAGAAAGAGCGTGTCATTTAAAATGATAAGGAATAAAAAATATACTAGGAAAAGTGTAAAGAACATAAAGAGAGAGTGAAAAAGAGAGAATGTGCCATTTAAAATGAAAAGGAAGAAAAACATACCAGGGAAAGTGAAGAGGAAAGAAAGAAAGAGAGTGTTTGTCATTTAAGATGACAAGAAAGAAAAACATACTAGGAAATGTGTAGGGGAAAGTAAAAAGAAAGAGAAAAAAAGAATGAATGAGAGAGAGAGAGAGAAAGAGAGAGAGTGTGTCATTTAAAATGACAAAGAAGAAGAACATACTTCGAAAGTGAAGAGGAAAGAAAGAGAGAGAAAAACACAGAGTATCATTTAAAATAACAAGAAAGAAAAATATACGCGGACAAGTGAAGTGGAAAGAAGAGAGAGAGAGAGAGAGAGAGAGAGAGAGAGAGTCTCAATGAAGGACGAAATAAAAGAAACAAAATGGTGATAGATTAGAAAGAAGAGCAAAATCTTGACAAATATTCTCGAAGAAACAAAAAAAACTAGAATCAAGCGTAACTGAAAAGATTAAACAAAAAGGCAGGGGAAAAGGCAGGGAATATGACAAGGAAAAAAGGCAGGGAAAAATGACAGGGAAAATGGCAGGGAAAATGGTAGGAAAAGCCAAGGAAAATGGTAGGAAAAACCCAGGGAAAATGGCAGGGAAAAGTCAGGGTAAAAGGCAGGGAAAATGACAGGGAAAATGACAGGAGAAATGGCATGGGAAAAGACAGGAAACATGACAGAGAAAATGGTAGGAAAAATCCAGGGAAAAGCCAGGGTAAAAGGCAGGGAAAATGGCAGGGAAATGACAGGGAAAATGACAGGGAAAATGGCATGGGAAAAGCCAGGAAACATGACAGGGAAAATGGTAGGGAAAAGTCAGGGTAAAAGGCAGGGAAAATGGCAGGGAAATGACAGGGAAAATGACAGGGAAAATGACATGGGAAAAGCCAGGAAATATGACAGGGAAAATGCTAGGAAAAATCCAGGGAAAATGGCAGGGAAAAGTCAGGTTAAAAGGCAGGGAAAATGGCAGGGAAAATTACAGGGAAAATGGCAGGGGAAAAGGCAGGGAAAATGGTTGGAAACAGGCAGGGAAAATCGCAGGGGAAATGACAGGGAAAATGAAGGAAAAAAGGCAGGGAAAATGGCAGGGAAAATTCAGGGTAAAAGGCAAGGCAAATGGCAGGGAGAAAATCAGGGGAAAAGTCACAGGGAAAATGACAGGAAACATGCAGGGAAATCGCAGAAAAAATGGCAAGGAAGATGGCAGGGAAATTGGGAGGTAAAAGGCTTGGAAAATGCCTGGGGAAGGGGCAGAGAAAATGGCTGGGAAAAGCAGGGAAAATTCCAGGTAAAATGACATGGTAAATGCCTGGGAAAGGGGCAGGGAAAATGGCAGCGAAAGAGTGAGGGAAAATGGCAGGGAAAATGGCAGAGAAAATAGCAGGGGAAAAGGCAGAGATATGGCTGGGAAAATGGCCGGGGGTATGGAAGGAAAAAAAAAGAAGGAAAATGTCTGGGAAAATTTCAGGGAAAATGGCAGGGAAAAACGCGGGGAAAATGGCAGGGACAAAAGGCAGGGAAAATAACAATTTAAAATGGCAGGATAAAAGGTAGGGAAAATGCCTGTTAAAAAGACAGGAAAAATGTCTGGGAAAATATCAGGGAAAAAGGCAGTGCAACGGCAGAGAAAAGGTAGGGAAAATTCCAGGGAAAAAGGCGGGGGAAATGGCTAGGAATATGGCAGAGAATTTTTCAGGGGAAAAGACAAGAAAATGGCCAGGGAAAAGGCTGCGAAAAAGGCAGGGAAAAGGGCGGGAAAAAATTGCAGGGAAATGGCGAAACCAGGATTGGTAAACCAAAACAAAACCAACAAAATGAAGGAACGCGGGTAACTGAAAATATAAAGAAAAGAAGAAAGCAAAATAAAGACGATAGAGAAGAAGTTTCTGAGGATAAAAAGAAGATTACGAAGAGAAAAGTAAAGAGAATAATAAAGATTACGATTAAAAACAAGACAGATAAAAGAAGAAAGAAATACAAAGAAACAAAAATAAATGCATGTACAGTATTGAATGATAAGGAGGAAAAAAGCAGCTTAACTAACAAAAGAAAGAAAGTGTGAATAAATGGTAGAACGAAGTTAAAAAGAAAGAAAAAAGAATCAATGAATAAAAGAAAGTAAGCAAAAAAGAAAATGAAGAAGAAATAAAAAGTTAAAAGAAAAAAAGAGGAAGCGGAAGATTAATACAGATTGAAAAGAAATAATGAAGAAATTAATGATTTAATGAAAAAAGAAGAAAAGGAGGCACAAATACACGATTAAATGAATGAATGAATGAATGAATGAATGAATGAAAAACGAGAAGTAGAATAAAAAGAAATCGAAATAAACTAAAGAAAAAAAGAAAAAATGAATGAATGGATAAATTGATAAGAAAGAAAGAAAGAAAGAAAGAAAGAAAGAAAGAAAGAAAAGAAAAGAAAAAAGCGGTGAAGATAGGAAATGAAAAACGAATGAAAAAAGGGAGGTTAAAAATAAATGAAAAAAAAGTAGACAGAGAGAAAGATAGAAACAAAGAAAGAAACAGACAGACAGACAAACCTTAAGAAAGGGAGAAAAGAAATGAAAAGAAAAGACAGGTGAAGATAAAAAAAAATAAGGTGGTTAAAAAATAAGGTGGTTAAAAAATAAGTTTAAAAGAAAGAAAGAAAGAAAGAAAGAACGGCGAAACAAGAAAGAAAACGATGAAGAAAAAGTAAGACAGAAAAAAGAAAAAAAGTGAGACACAAAAATGGAAAAGAGGAAAAGAGAAACTTGAATGAATAAAAGAGGGTAGACAAAAGAAAAAGATTCAAATAAATCCATGAGAAAATAGGGATTGAGTGTGACACAAAGAAAGACACTGAAAGAGAGAAAGAACGAAAAACAGGAAGAATGAAATAAGCCTGAAAGACTGTATATATACAGGACGATATTGAGGGCTAAGAAAGTATAGAGACTCGAAATCACATGGGAAAAGAAAAAGTCACAAAAGCAATTAACGAATTGAAAATAAAATTAAACAATGGAATTTAAAGCAAAATTTAAGCTATATAACTAAAAAAAATATTCCAGCAGGAAAATGAAAATTCAAAACTACTGATAATGTAGATGATGATTTTTAGTAAGGAAAATGTTATTTTTTTATAAATACAATATTTTTATGGTGTCAGAAATACTTCTATTAATTCCTGACCACTGACAATCCCTTCTTTCAGTGCAGGTTTATGGCAAAATCATTCACATATAGGTAAATGTACGAGCAAGCGTTTATATACATATACATACATATATATAGTTCAAGACGAAATAGTGCTCAATGTTAAATAACTGATATTTAATATATTAAAAAATATACATAATTACACTGGTTGCACAACTCGGAGTTTCATGCTGGTTTTTTTTTTTTTTTGGCGGGGAGGTTAACTCAGATTTTTTAACATTTAAGGTTATCGCAAGGTATTTTATTGTTGGGGTGGATTATTATTGTTGTTAAATTATTTAAATGAATTGTAGTTTAATTTTGCATTTAAATTTAGGCCCAAATTAACATTTAATATTGAAAATAAAGTTGGAAATAAGAATTATAAATTCTAATGTAACGAGACGCTGTTATCAAAAGGAACAAATAAGAAAAATCCCATTGGAAATCAAGAGAGGTAACTCTCTTTTTTCATGTAAATCAATAAAGTAATCAATAATATTAATATTAATAAGCTTCATAAAAGTAGTGATATCAATAATAGTAAAATATGCTGTGATAAAATAAAATTAAAGTAGTAATAAAATAATACATATCAATGAAAATAAAATAAGATAAAATGAGATAAAATAAAATAAAAGCCATATAAATAGGAATATGTAAATAATAAAATAAATTAGAACAAATAAAGAAATATATAAATAACTAAACAAATAAATAAAAGAAAAATAAATGCAGATATATAATATCGGAATTTTTTTAAAAAATTTAATCCATAAATTCTTCAGTTATTCCCCAAGGCTAAATGTGATTTTCTGCAAAAACAAAGCAAATTAACCACGATAGGTCAAGACCAACTTTTCAATCTCCAACCTCACCACAGAAAAATCGATAAAACTGAAAGTGGGTACGATTTTTTTTTAAAACCAATGCAAAGTTATACGCGACTAAAATTATTTCTAGATGAGCTGATTTTCAAAACAGAGCTCATATTACGAGGCTTATGTAAAGTGTATGACAGTTTTCCTGAAACATAGGCTTCACACAAGAAATTGCAAAAGACTGAAAAATCTGTTTTTTGCGTACTACTTAAAATAAAAACTTGAATGACTTCCTCATTTTTTATCCGATTTTCTTCAAACATGTCGCCAAAAATTAGCCATCACGCAAGAAATAAAATAGTGTGGTTTTAGTCGTGCTCGCTTCCCCGTGTATAACGAAAAACTTATCAAAAAGCCTCTTTTTCGGCCATAACACCCTGGGTTTTTTATCCGATACTTTCGAAATATACTATGTAAATTACATATGACACACAAAATGTCTTGGATGAATGATTGGTTTAGATTATTTCTGTTAAGTGGACGAAATCTGCAAAAGACTAGGCTCAAAATCGGCTT